GTTTGGTTTGTATTATCAATTTTACTTCTCGAAAGTAGATCATTCAATTTTTCTTATATAAGAGAAGTAAATTTCTTAGGAATAACTAAGAAAGTTGCACTTTCCTAGTTCACTGTGATCTAAATACACTTAAATCTACATTATAAATATTATTATCTTTTATAATTTAAGAGTAATTTACTTACCAACAAAATACATCCAAATTATAATTTCTAGAAAATAATTTATTTGGAAGTGCACTTTCCATAAAATATATGTCTCGGAAAATAGTTCCTTTTAAACCAAATAAGGTGTAAAAATTAATTTACATGTCACATGAATCAATGAGATGGGCTATTGTTTGTCCACGTACTATAATGATTGCCAAATCAGCTTGAGACACTTAATTATAATTTTTCAAAGTCGATTATAAATTTTTTCCTTTCAGATTCTAAAATAATAAAAATTGAGAAATTTAAATATTAAAAATATAATTAACCCTATATAATTTAACTAAAATTGAGTTTTGATCCATTTTAATAAAAACTTTTAGTTAGAACAATTGATTCCATTTTTAACTTGTCAATTTGCATGAAAAATAAATAATAAGAAAAGTCAATCGTTTGATTTTTCTCGACTCAAATATATTATTCATTTTTACTTAATAACTTAGTCAGTGCACTTATTACAGTTAAATAATAGATTAATTAGTCTTTTAATTGAAAATTCTTGTTTAAATTCATTCAAAGTTCAATTTTATATGGATGGTTAGTTAACTAAAAAATAAAATAATTTAAATTGAATTGAACCGATTTAATTCAATTTAGTTTCATATGCTATATGATTCAGTTCAATCTTTATCTAAAAAATTTTTGACATATTCAATCAGCAATAGTTGGATTTTGATTAGTTCGATCAAATCAACTATTTGCACCTAATTAATATAATTCGTGAAAATACTTTTTTAATTGAAAATTTTTATTAAAAGCATTTTAAAATATTAATTTTAGATAAATTATATGATGATCAAATTGAGGTGCACATTGAGCTTTATTTCATTAATAGACGAATAGTGATTGACAGAGAGTTATCTGCACCAGAAAGTTGCAAAACTCCATTTTCTTTGTTTTGCATGTAATTGATGTTAGACTGTTTTGATTTAATTTCGTTTTTTTTTTTTTTTTGGATACAAGGGAAGGGAATAAAATCCCAAAGAAAACCAAAACCAACTTAAGCCAGTCCTACAATCCGTGGCCAAGCCACGCCCAGCATGTCCCATCTAAGAACATCAAGAACTACCATAGGAGGGCCCTGTAGCACACGGTTACCCACATTACCAAAAACAGCACAATTTGCTAGAGCATCTACAGCCTGATTTGCTTCCCTAAAGCAACGTTTAATGACAACCAACCAAGAACAATTAAGAAGATGCTGGATACGCAGCAAAACATTCGTAAACCGAAGATGAGTATCAATATTGCGAGAAATCAGCTGCTTTGATACTAAGGAATCCATTTCAACTTCCAGCTTTCTAAAACCCATATCCTATGCAAGATTCAAACCAAAACATAATGCTTGTAACTCTGCCTCCATGGATGAACAGATTCCCAATCGTACAATATCATCAAAAGTTTGATTTTAATAGAGAAAATTGAAATATTTTTCGATTAGGTCTGATTTTTATTAAACTGAAAAAGTAACTCTAAATCTATCGAAAATAGTTAAAATTGAATTAAATCCATTCAATTCAGTTCAATTTTATACATCGTTCAATCCGTATTAATTTCTATCTAAAGACTTTTTAATCTATTCAATTGATAGTGGTTTGGTTTGATTTGAATGCTCACTCCAAACTTTTCTTATATAAAAAAACATAACCGACGAAGTATAATTACTTATGTCTAAGAATAGAAATATATTTATTTTTATGTGATAGATGAAGTAACATTAAGCAATTCAAAATGCTCTAGTGGGGCCATGTGGAATAAGGAAAACAAATGGGCTTAAAGATCTTAATTTGAAAAGAGTTTCAACCAACCAACTAACCTAACCATGATTGCTGACTGGTAGTTATGCATGCCAAAAAAATCCCACAAACACCTAATACTAAATTTCATTTTCTTAATTTTCAAATCTACAGTACAAATGTGAAAATACGGGAAATAATGAGATTTTCGATATTACCTTTATTGAAATTTTAAATATCGTAAAATAATTTTAGTCGTAACAATTCGAAAATTATATTTTATATCAATGAGTGTTTGGATAAATGGTTCAACACTCTTCTTCCTTAAATGAGATTGAGGGTTCAGTCGTCGTAAATAGAACAAATACTCTCTTGGAGCACTTTACCCCTTTTTGGACCAACCCAATTTGAGGATGATTTAATTATAACCAATGCTTTGGTATTTAGTTATAGCCAACGCTTCGGTATATCTGTGGTTAACCCCTTCTTTGACCAACCCAGTGCGAGCATGATTTAATTATAACCAATGCTTCGGTATTTACTTACCTTCTTGGACCAACCCAGTGTGAGCATAATTTAATTATAACTAATGCTTCAGTATTTAGTTATAGCCAATGCTTCGGTATATCTGTGGTTAAGACAAAAAAAAAAAAAAAATCATTTATAACTAATGCAATTCAGTTATCTTAGTTATAGCCCAATGCTTCGGCTTATATCTGTGGTTTAAGACCCAAAAAAACAAAAAAAAAGAAAAATTACGTCCTTTTTATTAACTTGGAAATACTAATTTCTAAAAAATTATTTGTTTAACAATTAAATCAATATATATTTAACAATACAGAAACAAAAAAAACGTACTCATTCCTTTTTCGTATAGTTCTATTAGAAAATTAAATAGGGTTTGTTTTAGACCAAATTGTATAATAGCTATACATTTCTTTTTTTAGTGCGTAACTCTTTTTTCAACTTAATTACTATTGATTCGATTTGCACACTTAAAAAATAGAGAAAAAAGTTAGATCTGAGCATTATTGCTTGTGTAATTTCACCTTTTTTGATTCTAATTTTATTATGTATTCTTATTCTATCAACATCAAAATTTTTAAACTTGCGTATTTCAGTCTAAGACGAGGGCTTTTGAATTTTTGAAAAATTTCATACTCGTCTTCATTTTTATGAATATAATTTCTCTTTTTTCATATTTACTCTCTATGTTTGTGTAGTGTTAAGAAAAGTATTAATCTTATTCTAGTTAATAAAAAAAAAAAAAAAGAAAAATTACGTTTTTATTATTTAATTGAATATAATTTCTAAAAATTATTTTTTAAATAAATATATATAGTTAACAATACAGAAAAAAAATGTACCATTCTTTTTCTGTATAGTTGTAAGAAAAATTAAGGGTTTGTTTAGCAAGAATAGAACATTTCTTTTTATGTAATCTTTTTTATTAATTAATTAACTTATTTATTTATTTTAAATTTGCAACTTAAAAAATAGAGAAAAAAGTTAGATCCTAGCATTATTTGCTTTGTAATTTTCATTTTTTGATTATAATTTTTAATTATTATTTTTATCTATCAACATCAAATTTCATTAAACTGCAGTATTTTCAGTTAAAGAAGGGGTTGATTTTTAAAATTCATATTGGTTATTTTTTGAATATAATTTATTTATTGTTATATGTTGAGTTCCGAAAAGAGTTCTATTCTTAATAATAATTTTCCTATTTTTTATTTTCTTTTTCGATACTAAATTAATTTGTAAACTACTATCACTTTAATTTACAAAAAGATTTATCTCTCTTGCAATAAATAAATGACATCTTGATGATTATATATTTTTAATTTTCTTAATATTTTTCTTTTATATTCTAAATCTGGAAAATAGTGTTTATAAAATTGGAAAAAAAATTAAAACTACATATTTCTATTTGGATCACTTTTGGGGTTTCAAGAATTTGTGTATATGTACATGTATTCCTTTCTTTAATACACTGGGTAAGTAATACTGTCAGTATAGTAGTCAAAGTAATTATCATTGTTAATTTAGATCATTTGCTCTTTTTTTTTTTCTTTACCTAACAGTAAAAAATAATTTATTATTATTATTATTTATTATACTTATATATAGATATTGATTTTGGGGGTGAGGATAGGATGTTGAAAATTACGTGATGACTTGTTTTCTTTTTGGACACTTATTAAGGGTTTACGAATCTGTATTTATAAATTAGGGACTGAAGGATTAGATTTAGGAATTGATTTGAGTTTTATTTTGAAACCACTTCATTATAAAAAAAAAAAAAGAATTAAGTACATAAGAAATAGTATTACAAGTAGTTTGTACGACAAAATCTAATACAAATTAAATAATTGTATTTATTTTAATCTAAACAAAAACTTATGCTTTAATATTATATAAATAAAAAAATTAAAAGACTATAAATATATAACGATATAAAGTACATCATAAAAATAGACTAGTATATATAAATATATATGTGTGTGAAAAAGGATAAAGTAATAATTAATAATAATATTTTTTAAAATAATAATTAACTATTGATTTTTTTTATTCATTAGGAAACTTAATAGGCTGAAATAAGATAATAGACTACACAATAAAAATACTCCTCTTATTTATATTTACTCAAAAAATTAGTGAAAAACTTTTGTAATTGAAAAGATTAGTAACGGACAAGTAACTATTAATTTAGTAAATGAAGAATAAACAGAATAAACAATATATATAGAATATATATAAATATTTACCATATTATAATTTCATTATAAATAAAACCTATAATGAGACTTATCAAACATTAGACCAATCACCACCGTTTATCTTATCGTCAATCCACTGAAACCGAAACTTACTGTTTAAGCAGAATACACATAAGACTCGGCCAACATTTTAGATGCTGAGCTGGATTCTTAAATGCCAGGTTGGCAGCGTTTGGAATCCAACGCTAAGTTGATTCTTTGATTCGTAAAACTTATTTCAACGGTCCAGATTTGCCCAATCCCCTCCAAGCTATTTATACCAAAGTGTCCTATTTTCCTTCCACTGGGCACTGCTACCACCACCACTTTCTTCTTTCTTCATTTAGCGAACGCAAAAAACACCAAAAACAGCAAAAGCACCGCAACTTCGCTGTAATCGTGGTGTTTTTTTGTTTAATCCGCAAAGAAATATCCCCATTAGAAAAACCACCACGAAAAGGAAGCTTTTGGCGGGTTAGATCGGATTCGCATTTGCTTTGGGTTAGTCACTGTTGTCCGCTTTTGCTTCATTTCCTTTTGTGCTTTTATTTGGTTTAGAGATCTGGGCTTTGTTATATCCTTTGTGTTTTTCCAGTTTTGATTGGGAATTATATGTAGGTTTTAGTAGATGCATTGTGGGTTTTCCTTTTTCTTTTTTATTTTGGATGATTAAGAAAATACTGGTGATTTGTTTCGAATCTCATAAAATTGAGTAAATTATGAACTTTTGAGTAACTATGTCCTGGATTTGTTGTTTGGAGCTGATTTCTTCTGCTGCATTTTTTGTTTTTCACTTTGTGCTAAATTTTTCTGGTACTGTGTTTAGATTTATCTTGAAAGCCTTTATGGATTCCAGTAAAATTAGTAATTTTTCTGGGGAAACTGAATTGGTAGTAGAATGTGCCGATAGAATTTGTAATGGGCCAATTGAATTGGTAGCAAAATGTGAAAATGTGACAATTAATATAGAAGCTTTTGTCTATAACGGGCCACATATGTATAAGCTCTAAGGTTGGACTGAGTTTATATAAGGGAGCTAATTTGTTGAGTGCAAGACTTGTTCTGGAGGTAAGTATGAGTTTACTATATGCCTTTTTTGTGAAAAATATATGGGAAAGACTAATCTTGGTTTTTAGGCAGTAATTCATTGTCATGTGGGACCAGTGACTTTTAATTATGATTTTCCAGGTCCAAGTCCATATATTGCTGCGATTGGAAACTTAGTCCTTAAGCATTGGTATATTATTATGGTCTATATGCTGTAATACATTGACATGTTTTATATGATTTGTAATACAGGAATATAAAATTTTGCTTCATTTTTCTAATGTATGCTAATTTTTTTTTATTGCACTCATATAGAATAGAAATTAGAAAGAAATGTTATTTTTTATTAATTGTCGTGGGAAACTTTAAAGTAAAATTGCAACTATAATTTTTGAGCCAAAGATTAAACTACTACTTTCAACTTTTGTTTCCTAACATTATCAATTTGGTTACTGATTCTGTTCCCAATATTTTTCCCACTTCTATCTCCAGTTCCATCATAAAGTGGCAGGATGGTTGCACAGGGCTTCACTGTTGACCTGAATAAGCCTCTTGTCTTCCAGGTAAAATTGCTAAATTTATATACATGAACTTTCCAGGAGTAGTCATTTGAGTTATCTTTGTTTTTCTTTTGACAGACAGTTTGATTCTTTCAATTTTGCATCTCATTCTCATCTTTCTGAGAGAAAAATACCAGTATCTATGAGTTCTTTTAAAACTCACATTGTTTTAATGCATGTATCTATGAAAGCATTGTTGAGCGCTCTTGAGTATTCACTTTGTTGTTATGAGTTGAATTGGTGATTTTAATTTCTTGAGGTTCTATCACAGGTTGGTCATCTTGGAGAAGCTTATGAGGAATGGGTTCACCAGCCTATTGTAAGCAAGGAAGGTCCTCGATTTTTTGAGAGTGATTTTTGGGAGGTATGGCTATTGACGTGTTTTGTTTGTTCATATGGAAATTTCAAGCAGCCTTAAAATTGCTAATTACCTGCACATGCACGGACACGTAGAATATTCTCATATTTAGGCTTTTTAATTAAGGTTTTATGCCCTGATACCATATGGCTGATTTGATGAGATTTTGGTTATTCTGCTTGGAACAGTTCCTCACTCGCACAGTTTGGTGGGCTATTCCAGTTATTTGGTTGCCAGTTGTGTGCTGGTGCATCTCAATGTCTGTACGAATGGGCCATAAACCTTCTGAGATAGCCTTGATGGTGGCTTCTGGCATTTTAATCTGGACATTGCTGGAATACAGTTTGCATCGCTTTGTTTTCCACATCAAAACGAAGACTTATTGGTTAATAATTGCTTTCTATCTATCTCTCTGTCTCTTTCATATGTGCACACAAATGTGGTTCTGTATGCCACATTCATATCAGGATCACGTAATAATATTTTTGCACTTGCTTTAGGTGGAACACCTTACACTACCTTATTCACGGCTGTCATCACAAGCACCCTATGGATGGTTTGCGGCTTGTCTTTCCTCCAGCTGCAACAGCTGTTCTTTGTGTGCCAGTATGTATATTTCCTTTACTTCCTATTATTATACTCTGAAAAATTGTGGAAACATAAAGTGTCAATCTCAAACTTGTTTCTAACTGCAACATGCTTCGAGCAAATCTCTTGAAATTTGCAGGGTGTTATTCTGATCTTCTAGCTATTTAACCATTTTAATTTTGCATACCAATGCAGGCAATTTTTTATTGTAATGAAAGGCGGAATATTCGTAGCAGAGCAGTAGACACTTTTTAATTACATTGAAGGATGCATATGTTATGTGAATTTGCTAATGGTTAATGCATGTTTAAAGACTCTAGTTATAATATGGTCATCATGCATTTGGAATTCCTTTTTATGATTTTCGTATTAGTTTTAACTGCAACTTTGTGTTCTTGCCAGTTCTGGAACTTGGTTCAACTTTTCGCTACTCCCTCAACTGCTCCTGCGTTATTTGGAGGTGGTTTGTTGGGTTATGTGATGTACGACTGTACTCATTATTACTTGCATCATGGTCAGCCATCAAGTGGAGTACCAAAGGATCTCAAGGTAATAGGATACTTCTCATTTTCTTGCCTTTTGTTTGTATTTTTTTCCATAAGTGTGCATGAGGTGTTGGGGATGGGATTATCTTTCATTTGTCCAAATGGAATCAATATTACTCCATCCACTGAGGAATTTTTAAACATGAAGGCTCTGCATTGTGTGATCTTTCCGTTTTATTTTTTAATAAAAGGGTTATTTGTTTACTGATACAGTTTTTGTGCTGAATAAAGTAGGTTCTGCTTATTATTTATTATCTTTTTTTGCAGAAATACCACTTGAATCATCACTTCAGAATCCAAAATATGGGTTTTGGAATCACTTCAGCCCTGTGGGACAGGGTGTTTGGAACACTTCCTCCATCAAAAGTAGTTGAAAAGAGTAGATGATTTAAATTGGAGGTACAGTTACAACTAGTGAGGGTTCAAGGGTGGGTTTGAAGTTTTCATGTCTTTTATTGCTAAACATTCTTTCTTGTCCTGCTATCAATTGATTTATATATAGCATGTTAATCCTAAATGGTCTCTACCACTTTGGTGTATACTCTGAATTTTTTGTGGTAATATTTATGTTCGAGAAATTGTGTATTTTAGTTTGGCCTGCCGGTCAGCAGCGAATAAAAAGGGCTGGATGGAGGGATTGGAAAAACAGAAGTAAGAAATTAATTAAAAGCCAGAAAAAACGATGAAAGTGTTGGACGCTGCAAAACAAGAGTAATTGAGTGATGAACAGATCCCACCAAGTGCAAGCATTTTGCTTGTATAGTGTGGAAATTTTATATCAATGTTAGACAATGCATGTTCAACACCCAATGAAGACTTTTGGTATTAAAATTATATGCAAGAATGCATAATTAGGATTCTTTTTTTTAGATTTTAATTATATAGTTCATTGATCATTAGTTTTATTTTTTGTTACACCTTTTTTTGTTAAGTTTATTGTTATTGATATCCCTCCGGAAAAAAAAAAAAGTTTATTGTTAGTAATGGTTAAATCCAAAAATAAGGTATTAAATTAGTGTATTCGGATATAATTGGTGGCCTAAATAAAAATTCACTCTTTATTAGGAACAAAAAACATTTTACTACATTAATAGGAAAAAAATAAATCAGTTCTTAGAGCTTGTATTTGGTTTAACTGTTAAATTCACTAATATTATTTAAGGTTTATTTAATATAGTTTTTGTGTTGTCTTAGCAAATGCTCTCTCCCTTTAATTTATTTGACAAACTTTTCACTTAGGGTCACCCATTTATTTTGATAAAGTTGCTATTTTGGTAAAAAATGAAGGTACAAAGTCTATATTGCGCTTTATATAGCTTCTAATATTTGAAAATATCAAAATAGTGACAGGCGACAAAGTACAGAAAACACATTTAATAAGATTATGATTACAAGACAATTGTTTTATCCCTTTAAGCAATTTATGAGCATGTGAGTGCATAACTTGGAAGGCTGTCCATTCAAACCCTAAATCAATGATTTTCAGTTTTAATTCACATTCAGAAATTAAAAATCGTACATCTTCAAACTCATTTAGAAATTGAACATAATTTTTGGAATGAACCTCTTGCTCTTGCATATGCGTGTAGGTTCTTTTTCATCGAGCAGAAGGTAAAATTTTTATGTTTCATTATACATATAGAACCATTTCTCATCTATGTGAGTTATGTCGTGCATATTAATAAAAGAAAGCTTATAGTTGAGTGTACTTGGATCCATGGTTAACAAGCAAAAATGTACTCTTGTTTTCTATTATTCATCTTTGAGGAGTGATTTAATTGCATTTGTTTGTATCTTAATGTCTCATTTTTTATTATCATTCTGTGAACAGTTGTTAAAGATGCACCCAGTTCATGTGCCTAGTCATGTTGGTTTATTCGACATCTCAGTGAAATTTGTTCGATTCTGTTCATTGAAATTTGAACTATCTCCTACTCCTGTTCTAAGGACCATTCATTCTGCTGAAAATTGGTTCATCAATTTTTGCAAACTTCCAAATTCTGTATAACGACTTTATTGAAATGGAGAATGCGCTTGCAACTTTTTCAATAGAGTATTGATTTAGCATCATTCTTGCATTTCATATAATAGCATATTTGTAACTAAAGATTTTACCTCTTCGCTAATGTTTTTCCTTTTAGATCTCTTTTTTGTCATCTCTATTGTTTCAAAAATAAGGGAAGGATTGTCAGATTCTTTAGCATCAGCATCATCTACGTAAAAGCACAACTGCATAATTGAGAGAAATGGTATATCATCTACGTCATAGAAAGTATTCAAATCCATAAGGACTTTCTAAGGAACAATGAACAATTATAGAACTAGAGGGAGAATTAGAAGTTATGGAGACCTGATCAAACGAATGTGAAGAAGCCATGAAAAATGAACTTCTATTTTTTTTTGCTTGCAATTTCATGTGAAAAAACTATTGTTGTTATGTATGAGAGGTAATCTGTGAAAAAGATGAGGAGATAATTCAAGTTGAATTAAAATTTTGGCTCTAAAATCAAATTTCTCAACGTCAAAATTTTCAAATGAGCTCATTTCATAATTAAAAAAAAATATAGTGAAAATTTCCCTCCAAAATGAATTTAGTTCTCTGCAAAATTTGCTTTAACTGTTGTCTTATCTCAAATAAGGTGAACGTATGTTTATACATATATAATTTTTTAGATGAATGTATTATTTTTTTATTTTAATATTTATATAAATAAAAATATGAAATAATTATAAATAAAAGTTCATATAAATATTAATTTGAATTGAACATTTCCACTGGATTTACTTTTGAAATTTGAACATATTAAGGAAGAGAACTAGAAAATTGGTTAAACCGTGATTGAACCAAACAATCCAAACAGATTCAATCCTGTCGTTTAATTCATTGACAATAATAATTATTTTATTGATATTATATATTAATATTTTTTTTAAAAATTACAGTATAATACATGATTTGCGAAATATAATTAGTTTATTTTTGCACTTTTAAAAATAAATGCATTTTTTCCTATGATCTACTTTTGTTATACTACTAGATCCTTCTGTTTCCATTGAGTTAACCAAAAAAAAAAAAAAAAAAAAAAACATAAGATGAACCAAACAATCCAAACAGATCAATCCCTGTCTCGTTTAATTCGTGACAATAATAATTTATCCTTTATTGAATTACTATAATTAATATTTTTTTAAATTACCAGCTTCATATATCTAATGATTTTGCGAAATATAATTAGTTTTATTTGCACTTTTAAAATAACAATGCATTTTTTCCCCTGGACATCTTAATTTTATCTACTTTTCGTCATATACTACTAATTCCTTCCTAGTTTCCATTGATGTTAACCAAAAAAAAAAAAAAAAAAAAGAAACATACACAAAGAGAGATCTTAAAACTTTGATACTAAAAAAAAAAAAAAAAAAGAAAACATAAGTCAAAAGAGAGATATTAAAACTTTAATACTTGAAAAATTACAATACAATCCATATGATTTGAGAAATACAATTAGTTCGTCCATATATTTTTAAAAATATACTAAAGGTAAGAAAACATAAAAGCGATATTTTCATAATTTTATGAGGCACTTAACAAAAAAGATACAAAAAATTAGATGGAATGACCTAGTAGTATAATAGAAGCAAAATTAGTCTATTTTCAAACACACAAAGAAGGATAAGTTGTGTTTTTCTAATCACAAGGACCATATTGTAATTTTTTTTAATTGCTGATTGAACCATTGATCCGCCGTTAAATCAAACGCAAATTCTTCCAATCCTTTAGCCAAATCAATATTCAGTCAAGTTTAGTAATATTGGTTCAAATGCAATACATATAGAAATAATAAGTTAACATGTATTTAATGAAATTAGTAGTTAATTGAGACTTCTATCACATATCAATTCTTGATTAAATTATGTATCCAAACACTTTTTTAAAAGAAAATATATTAGAGTTTCATGAATCACTTATAACATAAAGAGGCTTTCTCTTTTAAAGTCAAATATTGAACAAAACTATAAATTCATTTGGTTTGTCTTTGACCTGATTTTTTTATATGTAATTTAATGTGATTTGTCTTTTAAAAAACTATGAATTCGTTTGATTTGTCTTTGTCTATGATATGATATATAAATCTTACTTAATCGCAAATGAGAAATTAAAAATACATAGAAAAAAAAAGACAAATCGCATTAAATTATATATATAGTTTGAATGATACTTATTATTCTAATAATTATTATTATTTTAAAGCGTTTGATAAAAATAATTGTTTTCCTATCGATCTCGCCGAGGTTGCAAGACAGCCCTAGGATGTGATGCGTTGACATCGATGTGCCAAATGACTCCGTCATGTTTCGTGAAAGAATCGTGTGGCGTGGTGAAAGGATCTAGTGGATCGTCCTAGTAAAGTACTACAATTACTAACTACTTAGTTATCGTCATTGGCTCGATAGACTATGGAATAAACGGATGAAGGACCAAATAAGATCGTCCAATTCCTATAAAACCTATCACTAAAATACCCTAGAGGGGGATAGCGCTAAGCGGAACGAAAATGATTTTCTTGATTAGCTGTTAAATTTAAAATGATAAAAAAAATAAGAGCAAAAATTTCATATTACAAGTAGGCTTATTAATTTTATAGTAATAACCATGAGTGTCAAAAAAATTGATACTCATTAATTATTGCAAAACACTAAATGTTAAGATTTCATTAAACGTTTCTTTAATCTCTAAAATATAGATTCCATTATCAAATATTATAACTAATAAAAATATTGTTTTAACCTATTAAAAGAACTAAAAGCTATATATATAAAACACTATATATATATATCTACATACTATTTATATTATATAATAATTACATAACTAAAAATTAATATTATAGATATACGACCAATAAAGATTGGTTTGAGTGAGAAGAGGGGTAGAGCTAGGATTTAGAAAGAATGAGCAAACTAATATAAAAAATCGATTAAAGGAATATTGTGCAAAGATTGAGGGGCAAAATGGTTAAAAGTGTTAAAACTTTGTTTAGCATAACCTTAGTCTTATTAAGGAAAATTTTTTTTTTTAAACAAGAGGGGCAATTGTCCCCTTCCTCTAACACATGCTTCTAACACATACTTCGGCCTTTGAGCGACAAAAATCCCTTAAATAAAATACTTTTGCCTTCTAGCGAAAAAGATCCCTTGAATAAAAAGCTGAGTATCATTCTGAATATAAAAAAAAAAAAAAAATATATGTGCAAAGATTGAGGGGCACATTATGCGTTAAAGTGTCTTTTAAAACTTTGTTTAGCAACTTAAGTCTTATTAAGGAAAATTTTTTATGTTTATAACAATAGGGCAAATGTCCCCTTCCTTAAACACAATGCTTCTAACCACACATACCTTCGGCCCTGAGCAGACAACAAATCCCCATCAAATAAATACTTTTCCTTCCTAGGAAACAAGATCCCTATGAATAAAAAGCTGGTTAATCATTACTGAATTATAAAAAATAAAAAAAAAAAATGCTCGAGCTATCAAATGACTTGCTAAAACCAATCCCTCATATCATAAAAAAGAAAAAAAAAAAAAAAAAAAAAGATCGAGTATCAATGATTGTAAAACCAATCAATCAAAAAAAGAAAATTATAATATGAATGTTTGTAAAATTCAAC